AATGGTAACTACCGGCATACACCTAAAAAAAGATTAGCAACATCCCTTCTTATCTTCACATGACCCAGTTTTATATGCTCTCTTTTTAAATATCTATAAATGACATTGACCTCATTTATATAAAAGTCTAAGAGGTGAGTGAGTGAGTGAGTGAGTGAGTGAGTGAGTGAGTGAGTTGGGTTTAATGCTGCTTGGAACAGTATATTAGTTATATCCTGGTGTGTCATCGTAATGTGGGAGGAAAGCCCGAGGTGATGTAGGTCTCAGAATTCACCACTTCGGTGAAACCCACGAGCACGGGTATGGTGCTGACAAACCTAGAAACATAATGGGGGCTAGCCGGGATTCAAACCCACAACCCTTAAGTTTCCGGCGTGCCCAAGTGAAGCAACTCTTAATTGAGAATTGCGGCATCTTAGACAACTGGGCCACAAGAGCACAATGTTGCCCGAGTCATGATGCACAGAGGCAGAGGATGCAGTTAATGCTGGGCAGCCAAGCAACAGTTGCCATGGAGCAGTTACCACAAAGGTCATTAGATTATCAATTTCCTGTTTTTCAACTTGGTATAATTTGTAATATTTTTTATCAGAGAATTAGTACACTGATTACACAAAATGTCCTTTTTATGTGAAAATATGGAAAGGGGGGCGTAACATTTCACCAGGTGTATATATGAGCATGAACATTAAAATTCTACTGAGGTAGTTAAAGCAAAGCTGGGTTGACACAATTGAGAACAGATTGCTGAGCAGCCATATAAATCAAAACTAACAGAGTCAAGTATAAACAAGATTGAGCTGATGGGGTTTAAATTCTAAAGACTGCTATCGAATCCACTCCATACACATATCAAACATATCATGTAATGCTTTATAACATAAACCATCTGCACACATCCACATGATCACTTGAAGTATGTACTTGAGCAACAAAGTTGAAAGTGGAAGCGGTACAAACAAAGCACCTTGCACCTTCGACACCGACCAGGATGTGAGGGGGCTGACAATTTCATATTCTGGGGGCAGGTGAACTGGGAATTTATTGAATTTTCTTTTCTTAAATTCCACAAAATACTGTGAAAATATATGTTTGTTGCACATGATGGTGGTGCTGAAAACTGTTGTAAAAAAAACTAAGACATTGATCTGATCCTCCTTACAGAGAAAAATAACGGTTGCTCTTGAAACAATGACTAAAAATATATTCTACACCAAAATTCCCAGCCCCAAATAGATTACTACATTGAGGGTTCCTCTGGAGTCCAAAGCACCAGCGGATAGCAACAACAGTGAGTGAGTGAGTTGGGTTTAACGCTGCTTTTAACGGTATTCCAGTTATATCATGGCGTGTCAGCTAATGTGGGAGGAAAGCCTGAGTGATGCAGGTCTCAGACGTTTACCACTTTGGTGAATTCCAAGAGCACGGGTATGGTGCCGACAAACCTAGAAACATAATCGGGGCGAACCGGGATTCGAACCCACAATCATAGGTTTCTGGCGTGTCCAGGCGACGCAACTCTGCACAGCGAATCGCGGCGCCTTATATGACTGGGCCACCCGTGCCCTGATAGCAACAACAACTTGTCAATTACTTGAATCTGTTGCAGTTATGACAAAAAGTGTTATAATATTTCTTTTTTCTACTTCTGCACGTTCAATTGACATTAAATACTTAATGCTTGATAACTTTGAGTTCTGCCAGATTTTTCCATTTCAATCAAGAAAATATTGAACAGTGCCTCAAATATAACCTCACTTTTGCTAGTCTTGGTGAAAATTTACCAGACTGCAACCCACTGACCAGCGCCACTGTAAGTCCTCATTCAAGTAGTTGTCACTGGATGTTCTGTTCACTATTTGTTTACTATCTCATTCCTGTTTTGCAAAACAGTGACACTGACTGGTTATGGTGTGTCATTAGATCTAGTCATATACGACTTTTACGAGATTTTAGCATGATTACAGTAAACAGTAGTCTTAATTTAGGCTAAGCTGTTTGTAATCCTTTTACAATAAAATTTGACTTATCTTACATTTACAATATTTCTTTTGGTTGGACAGTGCTGACAGATTACAGGGGGAACCTGGGACACGACCTCATGATCAGCAGACCCTTGAGACAAGGGCCACAACTCCACACAGAACATGACAGAACCTCAGACTTCTTGGATTTTCAATACTAATCACATCAGTTTGTACAACAAACAGGCCCTTGATATCAGCTACTGAAAACCTTGTTAATCCAGTAACCTGGCAAATACGGGCATGAAAATATTACATCATAGATTCACTTAAAATCAATGGAGTAATGTCTGACCAAGGAACTAATATGCTGAAAGAGGACAGTTGGGGACAAAATTCAGGAAGGCCACACCAATAAACACTCATGAATGAAGCTGCCTGCCAAATCCTTTGTTTATTTAGCTGTCGATTATCATACCAGTTCAACTACACTTTGTGTTTATCCATCTGTCAATCATTAGGAAGCAGTAATGTGGATCACAGACGTCGATAATGAACAGATGAGTTATGGTGACCTCAGGCATTAACAATGTGTTCAAGGACTTGTCTAGGATTTCACAATACGTTTACAGGGAATCACGATGTGCTTTCATCACACATCAATACATACCAGGATACTCAAGTCTTGAAATGATGCATATTGTGAGCCATTACTGACAGCTTTCCATGCTTCATGCAAGTGTTGCTGTCTTGTTGTCATAGTTTAACGCAATCAGATATTTGCAATCTTTTTCTTGCATGACAGGCGGTAAGGTAATGCTTGCCAGAGCAGTAAGAGGCCATTTTATTGCAAAACAACGTAAATATTACCAAAAAAAATACTTGACACATGTATATTACGCATCTGTGAAAACTGACACCCCTTCTTAGACTACAAACTCTTTGTATAAGGGAAGCCTGTGGTTAAGAAAAGATTATTTTTTTTCAAAATTGGAAAAGGGTAAGGAAATTGACATAGCTATAATTCCTAAATCCGTAACAGTTTTCATACCTATTATCCCTATTCAGAAAGTATGAATGGGTTGGTTAAATGCCACTTTGAACAGTATTTCAATTACATCATGGCGTGTCAGTTTGATGTGGGGGCAAAAAACAAAATGATGTCAGTCTTGGGACGTTTACTTTGGAGAAACCCATGAGTATGCGTTCAGAGCAGACAAATATTCATTTTCTTGAATCTTGGACATGAACCGGAACATAGGATCTTGGTATGTCTAAGGGGCAAAACTCTGCCGGCCTCTTTATCCCAGTATTGCCGTGTGGAACCAACACACATACCAAGGTTCAGTGCTACTGGCTGACCCTGCCTTATATATTTTTTAATGAGATAATATTGCAATTTCTGTTTTGATTTTGGGTACACAACAAACAAACTGATCCGTTAAATTTGTAAATAAATATGCTTGACAATTAATTGTAATAGTGTATCTGATGAAATACCCATTGATAGGGTATTCATATTAGGGGGAAAACAAAATCATCACACACACAAAAATATTGGACTGGAAAGTAAGCAATTGTAAAAAAAAAAAAAGTTGGAAATGCCATGAATTATAGCCATTTTTCTTAAAAATAACGATATCACATTTGTATGCATATGAATTACTGTTCACAATTATGACAATACTGAAGACTAAATATTGGAGAACAATAAATATACATGGCAAGGGTATTAAACAGGTTTTCGAAGCATGGTAGAGGGACTGTCCTACAGATGTCATCGCATGTCGCGATATGAGCGTATCAGTAACTATTTAATGTCGATGTATTTATACAAATTTATGATTATGGATACTAAATTAATAATTCACTGTTTACATTTGTCAAACTTACCATGGTTAAGAAGGCATGATATTTTGTGATACTTTTGAGTCGATATATTTTCTCCAAAATACAACAAACATTTCTTTTTTACAAATGCACTGAGGATGTTATTATATACTCATAATCATGATAATAATGCATCAGAGGTTGTCATCATAAATGATTACAAGGGTTTACAGTCCATACAGATGAAAAATTAAACAACCCTACATATTGCCTCATCACAAATATTATATTTCGGAATATCATATGGATTAATGATGCCCGACTGATGTGTTGTTGCCAAATCATGTCACTACACTACATCGTAAGAACCGTAGCAGGCGAGATGTGTGAACGTCTTAACCACCATGCTTTTACAGCACCCCTTTGGGCCGAAGTTTACCATAGCATAGAATGCAAATAATGTCATTGCCTTAATTATTATTGTGTGTATTACAATAGATGACAAAGTATATTGATATATACATGAATATCAATTTCAGTCAGTGAATACATTGGATTTAACATCGTCTTGAACAGTATTCCTATTATATCATGGCATGTCAGTTTAATGTGGGAAGAAACACTGAAGTGATGCAGGTCTCGAACGTTTACCACTTTGGTGAAACCAACGATCACAGGTATGGTGCTGACAAACCTAGAAACAAAACGTGGGCGATCCAGGTTTCAACTCACGATCCTAGGTTTCTGAGTCACAACTCTGCACAGCCATTTGCAGCATCTTAAACGACTAAAATATCAATTTCACATGACATGCTTATTACTTATTATTCCATATGACCACCAGAGCCTAAGCAAGTGATTGTAAGTTGGATGTGACTGTCAGTGTTATGTGCAATAATGTGAAATTATTTGATCATCATATTAGCGAAATTGTTTCATTAACTAAAATATTTCATCCTTAGATTAGGGAGTAAGATTATGTCAGCCCTGCTTTGAACAGCATTTCAGTTTAACACGTAGTGTAGTGAGTGAGTGAATGAGCAAGTGAGTGAGTGAGTGAGTTGGGTTTAACGCCGCTTTTAACGGTATTCCAGTTATATCACGGCGCGTCAGATTAATGTGGGAGGAAAGCCCGAAGTGATGCAGGTCTCAGACGTTTACCACTTCGGTGAAACCCACGAGCACGGGTATAGTGCTGACATACCTAGAAACATAATCGAGGCGAACCGGGATTCGAAACCACAATCATAGGTTTCTGGCGTGCCCAAGGGATGCATCTCTGCACAGCGAATCGCGGCGCCTTAGACGACTGGGCCACCCGTGCCCCCTAACACGTAGTGTAAGTTAAACATGGGAGGAAGGACTGAATTCATGCAGGTTGGCAACATCATTTACCACATTTGTGAAACACAGGGTTAGAACTAAACATAAAAGCTTTACTAGCCTGGGTAGAGATTACATGCCCTTGTGATGTTAAAACAATGGGGAAATTGGGCAATTTGTACTAGCACGCATGAATTTGTACCACCCCTGGGCTTGGGGGCAAGTGATAGGTCTGACCCTGCCACAAGAGGGGATCACATAATCTGGGCAAATCTGAGATTCAAACCCACAATCTGCAGATCCTTGCACAACAAAGGGAGACAACCTGGGGCACCAAATTGGTTTGTTTGTTTGTTTGTTTGTTGTTTAACGCTGCACTCAGCAATATTCCAGCTATATGATGGCAATCTGCAAATATTCTAGTCTGGACCAGACAATCCAGAGATTGAAATCATGAGCATCAACTGATCACGACACATATCCTTAATATGATGAAACACAAGGTCTCAAATATATAAATAATTGATCCGAACAAACTAAAAGGAGACAAGTACCGAGGAAAAGCACCAAAGACAAATAAAAACAAATTGCACAAAATATTGGCACAAAACAAAAATAAATGACTAGACGAGCAAAAGCAAAACAGAGTATTATGCAAATAATACAACAAGAAGGAGCAATGGGACTGGGTTTAAAGCTGTCATCGGATGCAGCGAGCACCAAGCTGGTTTCTGTGACACAACTGTGGCCATCGCCAACTGTTTGATAACCGTCACTCCCTAACTGTGTGACATGACTACAATACTTTGTCTCAAGGTCTACCGGTATAGTAAAACATAATTCAGGAAGCAATCTGACAGAAGAGTCTGAAGTAAGCATAAGAAATTAGGCAAGTAAATGGTTCAGGTTAAGCTGCTTCCTTGTACTAGATACACAAGTAGAATTGTTTGGGATTAAAAGTAAAGAAAGATTAATTTTTGGAAATCATAAATAAATATTGAGACTCATCAGATGACTGTAGATTGTAGAAGATATTTTGTTCTGTACATGATCAAATGTAATTGTTTTGCGTCTAAATACTGAGAAACATTCTATACTAGGGTTGTAATAATAATGCGTAGATCTAGTCATGACACAATACTAATAATCATGATAATAATGCACCAAAGTTGATACATCATGAACCGTTGCAAGCACAGTTTGAGGGTTTACAGTCCATACAGATGAAAATCTAAAACAGTGTGAAGAATTATGAATACTGTCATACAGCTTAAAACATTGTTTGCTAATGTATACTGTGAGTGTACTAGTACACCAGTCTACTAGCCACCCAAACAAAATATAACCTACGATGTCAAAATACATTATTCTTTATGTCCTTGATACAAAATGTACTTGTAGTATGACCAAAGCCTTATGTCAAGTCACTCAGAAATTACATGATAAGTAAACATGTATTTTAAACCAGGAAGAAATGCACAAATAACAAAGATTCATAAGCATCCAATACAATTGCATAAAGCTATACATGACGAGCAGAATGCTGCCAATTTTGAGTTGCTTCCCTCGTACTGCAGTATGTCAAGAGTTGCTGCCCTTGACTGCTATTTACCACGATATGCTGCCCTTGACTGCATATACACCGTGCGTTGCTTCCCTAGATCAAGAGTTGCTTCCCTTGACACTGTATACGTCAAGAGTTGCTTCCCTTGATACTGTATACATCAAGAGTTGCTTCCTTTTACTGTGCATACATCAAGAGTTGCTTCCCTTGACTGCAAGTGAGGAATAAAATATTGAGAAAATCATATTTCCATGATCACATTTGAAGCCTATGATACTTCTGTTGGGCTCACCGTAATTACACTGTTTCAACAATGGCGAAACTATACATGGATTTATAGGAGAGAATTTCCAAAAAGCACTGCTTGTTTGCTTAATGCTGTGTGTAATATAGGACCAGTACCTAGAATAAAGACTACACCTTTACATTCTGGCTAAAAAATCAAACCAAGTGGTTCTAAAGTCATGATTATCAGATAGGTAAGCAGGTCAAAAAGCCCATCCGGTCTCACAACAGAAATAACCTGTCCGAATGTTGATAAATATGTTCTATACTTATCACCACTGATTAAACACTGATTAGTACATAGAATACTGCCACAGCTCCACGTGTGATGTCACACAGCCCAATCTCCAGCTAGGTCAGTGCAAGAATACCAGTGGGATGCCACCATTTTAATCTTTGTAACTTTCTATGTGCAAAGCCTTCCAGAGAATACAACTGGTTTTAACATTTGAAACATATTTGTCAATACAATCCATTCATTACCTTATTGTTGGGCTGAAAAATCAGAAAGAAAACCCAGAAAGTCTAAAAAAATAATTCTTCTAAATATGTTGTGTAATACAACAATGCCATTAAAGCATTAAGAACATATAACTGAGACAATTAAATCTTAACTTTCAATAAAATAAGGGTTAAACTCAGATATAATATTCATATTTAATAAACAAAACATTTGAAATACAAGGTAAGAGACATATTCCTTGTGTACAGGTTAACAATTCAATAAAATGTTCTCCATGAAGGAATCAGTGTTCAAAACCGCATTATCATTGGCTACACATCACCAAGTATGGCCACTGTACATGGCTATCATTTCCATGGCAACTGTTCATATTCAATTGAGAACATTTGGTCTTAATGATGAAAGTAAAGTCTACAATAAATTACATATGTCTCAAATGTTTCCATTTGACAGTCACAGAGCTACTAGAGCCGTATGCACAGAACTTACATCTGACATTAACATATACATTATGATATGTCCACAGCAGGAGCGAAGATGTTTATTGTGGAATTGAAGTACAGCTTAACCTCAGCCAAACCTGGCACAGAGCTGGACACCAGTCCCTTCATTCAGGTGCCTCATTATCATTACCCAATGCTAAACTGGAGCACATATAAAAGGCAGCTTCAATTGTGTGTCTCTTTATGCCCCCTAAGCCTATCACAAATCATAGAGAAATACTCTGATCCCAAACCTGTAAACATGATGCATAAAAGTTGCATCACAGGGATGTGCCAAGTCACTCAAAACGATCTTAGTACTAAGACTTTTGTAGTTGTTCACTCCTTATCAGTCTTTGATATCTAGAATGAAGTCAACGGGTCCTTGCTTCAACCATTATGTTAAGATCAAGGGGGTCCCTAGATTAAGAAGGTCTCTAGATTAAGTGGGTCTCTAGATTAAGGGGGTTCCTAGATTCAGAGAGTCTCTAGATTCAGAGAGTCCCTAGATTCAGGGAGTCCCAGATTCAGGGAGTCCCTAGATTCAGCAAGTCCATAAATTCAGGGAGTCCCTAGATCCAGAGAGTCCATAGATTCAGGGAGTCTCTAGATTCAGGGAGTCCCAGAATCAGGGAGTCCCTAGATTCAGGGGTCCATGCTTAGATCTACAGCACTTTAGCCTAAGATTGCCTTGTGCACGTGGGCCCAGGATTAGTGCTGCAAGGATTCATGTTGTCACAATGGCATATGTACACAGGTAGTCAGGGAGGTCATGGCATGATAATGTGTGATACATGACAACTTGACACAGGGACTTATCTAGGATTCCAAACTGATTGCTCTCAGCAAATTGTGAATTGGGATTTTAGGGCAATAATGTGAAACTAAGCACTGAAACTTCTTCCTCTATAGTGGTCCTGTTATCTGTGAAAAGCAAGTCACCTTACAAAGCCATAACACTAGTCATAATTATAACAGCATGAATGGGGAAATGTTTAATTACACTTTGGAATTTTTTACAGACATTTGCTGCTGAATATTATTTTTAGGTTTCGTGGAATCCAAAAACCAACTTATAAAATGGTCACTCCAAAGGAACCCTATTCATTGACTGCAAATTACTAAGATCCAAAATGACTCCAAACATCTTGTACACTTGAGTCAACCTATCAGTGTGCATATACCAGCAAATATTGTTTTAGAATTCATTTTCACACCAAATAACAAGGCCCTGTGTATCTTGCTCTTGTATCAATACAATATTTGTGCATGACCTTACAATACAATACGATACTTGTATCAGGGTTAGATTTCGTTTTTTCTCCAAAAATGATTTGTTACCAAGTTGCCATCTACCAACTGGTAAAAGTGGTAGTGAACAAGGATATGTCTTTTCAGACTTGTACCAAGCTTGTCCTTACAGACTGATGTATATTACAAACCCTGCCTCTCCTGGCACATTTGCATTGAAATTTCAGTGAATCGTTACAGCCATTGCTGTTACAGGGTTTGTATTCATGGCCCTACACCTACTCAACAAAAACAGCCCAGTACATTCTGACTTAGATACACACAAGTAACCATGGTAACAGAACTGTATAACAATTCCAGAACAAACAAGATCCTCATATACACAGACATTCCAGCACTATATTGGAACATTGGCATGCAAAAATAATAAAATCTTACAAAACAAATACTTAAAATTGCATACTACAGCCTGTACAAAAGAGTTACCAAATCAACTAAACATGTTCTCCAACACGCAATACTGCCAGCCTGATACTGCCATACTCCACGAGATGGAGGAAGTGCACTGCTGTTATATGTTTTAGTAACATAAGATGCCATACAACTAAATATCAACAGAAATACCTAGGAAAAGAATGGTAAAGCCTCACTCAGCACTTACAAATGCTGAACAGCGATGGCTTTCTTGTAGTACAAAACACACCAGTCTTCCTCATCAGAAAACTGATGGGTCGGTTTGGCAAAAGTTTGTAGTAAAATGGGTTTTACATATTTAGTTGCGTCGTTCTTGCGTCGGCCATCACAGTAATGTACACTTATGGTTTCGTTTCCTCACGGGTTGGGGCTGCAACACTGCTCGCACAGCCTCGTCAAATACCTGGAAAGATAACACGACTTCCTTGTCTCACTTGTGTAAATCATGTGTACAAAATTAAAAAAGAACAGCTATTACCACTAGAACGAACACTTTTTGTTTATTAGTTTATTTAATGTCACAATTTGTCAGCGAAATGGCTCCCTAGAAATAATCAAGACTGGACCAGACTAGTCAGTGATCAATCCCTGGTTTTGTTTGTTTGTTGTGTAATACCGCAGTGAGCAATATTTAATAAGGGTAAAACGATACATCGTGAGTTTTCATGCGATGACATGTTTTTCTAAAATTAATGACTTACTACTCGTCTAAAGACCCCCAGCAGGTTTGCCAGTCAAATATATCAAAATGTGTTGTAATTAGAATTTCAAGTTCATTACTAAAAATAGCCTAGCTCCTTTAGAATCTGCTCTGAAATATTTAGTCAAGAAGTTCTCATGATTTGACTAGCCTTCAAAATTTACACTAATCTGATACTGATAGCCCAAGGCAACTGAAGGTAGTCCTCATTGACTAGTAGCTTTTGAACATGTTGAAGGCTATAATTCTGATACAGTTCTCAATGCTTACTTTTGCAACAAACTTGGAAGAGAATAAGACTGACATAAATGTAACCATTGTAAACATGTTGTAGTGTTCAAGCAGGACCAGTTGATGATATGTGTTTCCACAGCTTCTCAGTAATAATCTTGTCTTAATGGTGGTAGAAATAAAGATGCCAGGAGTAAGAATGTCATGATAAACCTTGGCACACTTTTATCGTTTAAGGTTTTGGTTTGGTTTGTTGTTTAACGCCACACTCGGCAAAAACATATTCCAGCTATATGGCGACGGTCTGCAAATAATCGAGTCTGGGCCAGACAATCCAGTGATTGACATCATGAGCATCGATCCTCACAATTGGGATACAATGACATGCATCAACCAGGTCAGTGAGCCTGACTACCCGATCCCGTTAGTCGCCTCTTACGACAAGCATAGTCATCATTTACGGAAGCAAGGGTTGCTGAAGAAAAATATCATGAGTGGCTTGAAGCACACTTGAAAACAATTGCCTTTCAGTTGGAGCCATGGCAGGATGCACAATAACTACTCTCCATGTCCAATTTTCTTCTATCAATCAATTTGGTTTCAAACAAGGAAAAGGTCATCAACACTTAACTAAAGCTTTGATCACGTACACTTTGTTTCCATTTTTTCATTGATAAACTGATCTCATTCAGGACCCTCATCTGCATGCTTGGGTTTTGTTTGTTTGTTTGTTTTGTTGTGTTTTGTTGCCTTGAGCAATATTTCAGCCATGTGCTGCATCCTGTAATGAATGAAGCCTGGACCAGACAACACAGTGCTTGATATTGTGAACAATATTTCGTAAAGTCGGGGGACAATGACAAGTCATCGACCATGTCACCGAGCCCCACCACCCAATTCATTAAGTCGCCTCATATGGTCGGCACAGGATGCTGGGGATCATTTGAAACCAGAATCATTGCTCCAAACTTCCGTACCTGCTTGAGTCCTCTCTGCGTGAGTGCCGAGCACTCCATGTATTTGACTGCTCTCACTTTGTTGACTAACTTCATCCCTTGTTCTCGCTTGATGGGCGCAAGACCCTGAGCAACTAATTGGCCGATCGTTTCTTTATTTTCTCTTAAATCTATTTTTGTACCTGAAAATGAAAAGAAAAGAAAATAACTCTATATCTCTGCCACTGACTTGAAGTCCATCATAATCATTCTGTTTGTTTGTTATTTAATGCTCTACTCAGCAAAATAACAGATGTGTGACAGGGAACTGTAAATAATAAAGTCTCGACCAGACAGTCCAGTGTTTGACATCATGAGCATCAATCTATGCAATTTGGATATGATGACATATATCAACCAAGTCAGTATGTAAAAGCACAGGTGGGTGAAGACCGATTCTAACCCGGATCTTCACTGCCGTCCAAAAGGTTTTTTAACATGATGATAGTGATGGGGTGATGAAACACTATATCAACATGATTTGTCTTGCTATGGGTGACAAGCATGGTATTGCGCTAACAAAGTCAAGGTTCATACAAATATGGAACACTAAAATTCAAGGCCCCTCAAGGTTTTTTCAAGGCTGTCAAATGTCATTTTTAAGTTTTTTTTAGTTGAGTTATCTGCCTTTGTCTGTATATCATAAAACCAACATACTACACCATCATATAAATCCATAAAAAGCAGTATGATTATCAGACACTTTCCACCAAGATTAATTTTCATGTCCAACAAACTCTGTATGGTCTTTGACAAACAAATCTATCACTGTGATAAATGTCATACTTTGTTTGCTTTTTTAAAAATATTTTTATTAACAAGTATATATATTTCATTTTCCCCAAGTTCAGGGCTTTTCAAGGGAGGTTGGTGATTTTCAAGTCTTTTTTCAGACTTGACACTAAACTAAACTTCCTTTTCCTGCCTGTGCGAGCCCTGAAAGTAGGGAGAATCATCAAGGTGAAACTGGATTTGACGCATGATTAGCAGCTAAGGGAGACAACACTTACCAACAAGTATAACGGGGGCATCAGGACAGTGGTGCTTGATCTCGGGATTCCATTTTGTTGTGACATTTTCAAAGGAAGAGGGACTCACAACACTAAAGCATATCAGGAACACATCGGTCTGCAACACAAGAAAGTCCTCGTTATATACAACCAGCTTAGTCAGCTCTAACGAGGAAAACCAAGGAACAACCTTAACCCAGTGTATGGGGCACTTGGAGTGAGAAATTTGGGTGTAATGCCGCCTTAAACAGTATTCCAGTTATATCCCGGCGTGTCAGCTTAATGTGGGAAGAAGCTCCAAGTAATGCAGGTTTCACTTTGGTGAATTCTATAAGCACAGGTCAGGTGCCGACAAACCAAGCAACATAACTGGGGGGAACTGGTATTCGAACCCGGTATATAGGTTTCTACGTGCCCATGGGATGCAACTCTGTATAACTACTTGGGGCGCCCGGGATGACTGGTCACTCATGACGGCTGGGGCACTGGGCAGGTCGCAGGGGGCAGGGGGCACTAGCAAGCAGCAGGGGTACTACTTAGTCATTTAGTTTTTAATCACATGATATCATCCACTAGGGGTGACTATTGGGGTTATTTTCACTGTTGTGACTGTCTTGCCATTGTAGCAAAACTATTACGATAGTATTGCAATAGTGTTAAACCAACTACATAATTACAGTAATCAATGCAATAGCAAGAGTGAGTGAGTGAGTGAGTGAGTGAGTGAGTGAGTGAGTGAGTGAGTGAGTGAGTGAGTGAGTGAGTGAGTGAGTGAGTGAGTGAGTGAGTGAGTGCGTGCGTGAGTGAGTGAGTGAGTGAGTGAGTGAGTGAGTGAGTGAGCGAGAGAGCGAGGCTTTACACTGCTTTCTTAGCAATTTTCCAGCAATATCACAGTCAGGAACATATGGCAGTGACTGTGAATTATTATGCCCTGTCTGTCGTATAAATCCAACTCAAAGGTTAAGTACAGAAAATGGTAATAATAACTAAGAACACAAAAACTGTAAAAGATGTAAAAGGGCAAGTGAAAATATTGCAGGATGAGTACAAAGTAATATCTACTCGCCCTGCAGGACAATTCTTTTAGCCCTGATGTGTTACATATCATATTGATCTTTGAAATAAATAAGTTTCATCGGGCTAGCAAACTTGAGTTTTTCACACTTAAAGAATGTTTTTGCATTTATGGAGGCATAAACATTAAAATCAATGTGCACACTGTTTAATTAAACATATATATCTTCATAAATGCAAAAACACAAAATAAGGATTGAAGCTACTTGAGTAATTCTTAAATGTCCAGCACTCATAAAAATGTGTTGACAGTTTTCCCTTGGCATGCTTGGGAGGTCTGCTTCCTTTTGCTTCCATTTGTCATAAAATTTTTACCTCCATAAACACAAAAATAATTTTTGAAGTCAGTTCTTATGATTAATAAATTAGTCTACGATAATAACTTCACAGATTGCCAATTTAATCATTACCACAAAGAAACATTGTAGACAATGATACGAAATCAATGGCATGATTCAGCCCAATAATACAACACAAGCCCCGCCCACACAAGCCCCGCCCACTATATCATCAGCCAGTGTGGAAACAGTGGTCCACAAGTGGGCGTGGCCTACTTATTTTAAGATTTACAGAAACAAGAATGGAAAACAAAACTGCTAGGTCAGCCAATCAAATGCTATGGAATTACTTGCAACTTATTCACACAAAAAATGAATGAATCAGATCACAATGTATGCCACAGTCTTCACCCAATGTAAGTGATGTAGTGATGACTGAGTGCAAGTATACAGATAATGCTGATTTATTTGTCCTAAGAAGTCAACGTTGCTCATTTTGATCCATAACTGACATTTTGTGTGGTACTACTACTACTAGGATGAGAAGAGAAGACAAGGCACAACCTGTGGGTAGGAGAGAGGCCGGAGCCTGTCGTAGTCTTCCTGTCCTGCTGTATCCCACAATCCCAAGCTCACTGGAACACTGTCAACCATCATATTGGCCGTGTAGTTGTCAAATCTGAAAACAGATAGTAATAATAATAACAACAACAACAACGATAATAACCATCATATTGGCCGTGTAGTTGTATGCTTGTCGTAAAAGGCGACTAACAGGATCGGGTGGTCAGGCTCGCTGACTTGGTTGATGCATGTCATCAATCCCAATTGCGTGGATTGATGCTCATGTTGTCAATCACTGGATTGTCTGGTCCAGACTCGCTTATTTACAGACCGCCGTCATATAGCTAGAATATTGCTGAGTGCGGAGTTAAACAACCAACCAACCAACCAACCACTACTACTACTACTAATATTGGCCGTATAGTTGTCAAATCAACAACAAAAGAAGAAGTCCATTTATAATGTGCCATTCGACTCAAGTGCATGCTCAAAAGTAAACATTATTGTTACCCCTGTCAATGGATAAGTGTGCTCTTGATTTTCATTCTCAGCTCCCTATGGAGTATACAAACGATGCTGGACTACATACCACCACAAATTGATAGCGTCAAAAAGGGTCTCAATACAGATGTGTAATAATTCTTCAAACCTGTGTAGCATTAAAGAACACAGACACACACAGACACAAACTTACACAGACACACACTATTAACAGATAATAACACCTGGTACAAACTACCAGTCGGTAAAAATATTATTCATTTTACCAGTCTATAATCAGAATTTTACCAGACTAATCAGAGTGATCTCCCTTTTTACACATCAGCTTGCTAACACCAAACGCATTTTACTCTTGCAATATCTCAAACATTATTGTAACCGTATTGCCAGTGTTTGAAACAAAAAACAATTGCTTTAGAAGCTGCAGGCCCTGACTAAACACTTCAAGCAATTATTGTAAAAACAAAATGCAGCTTATTGTGATAAATAAATAGACATGTAAATTAACTGCAGGCCATGAGGACTTTAAAACTACGGGCCCGACACGAGATCTACCTTCCACAGGTATATGGACAGGCACAAATTTCGAGCACTGAGGATTTCAATGATTTCATATAATGCCTCTTTAGTATGTACCACAAATAACAATGTAGAATGCGGGAAGCATTCAAAGCTATAACAACCTGTGACAATCTGGGTTAAAATAGGTCTTCAGTAACCCATGCTTGTTGTAAGAAGCAACTGTGCTTGTCATAAGAGGCGACTAACAAGATGAGTGGTCAGGCTCGCCGACTTGGTTGATGCATGTCATTGCATCCCAAATATATAGACAGATACAGATGTCAATCATTGGATTATTTACAGACGACTATCACATAAATGGAAAATTGCTGAGTGGAATGTGAAACAAGAAACAAACAAATGATGACAAAGCGTAATATGTCTACAAAATCATGATTTCATTGAAATCGGGTGAGTGCGTACAGTATTTCACGACAGGGGACAGAGTTTGGGGCTTCACACATTGTACCCAATGAATGCTGAACCACTAGGCTATGCCACCGTCCCTGGTCGTGTCAGGTAAACCCAAGGCAAAAAACCCACCCATTAGACAGAACTTGTCCACAGTCGAGAAATATTACACCTTTTGGCAACTATGGCAACTTGGGATATTGATAGATAAATTGAGTATTTTAAGCTTTTGTGCTGATTTGCTGATGTGGCTGCCACTGGAAGTGTCCATAGATCTTCACACAGAGAGATATTACTCCGCAAAAAATCAGATTTTAATGAGATTGGCTAAAGTCTAGATTTGACAGAGTGCTTGGGCTGTTGCTGGTGACGAGGCAGTAAGTATGTCTCTCGCTGGAAGCCATATTTGATTTCGGGTCATGTTGCCTAGAAAAACTTTAAAAAAACAACAAATGGTGACCACCTCACCCACGACATTTCAGGCTTCTGGCCAACATGATTAAGATTTGGAGACAGATATTGTTTAATTCTTTTAAAATCAAACTAAAGCATGCCAAAGAAAGCAAACTGGCGACCATACTGAAATAACAATTTTGATGCTTGGAACGAACTTGAACCCCTCATTACAACAGATATCCACACATTTTGCTGAATCCATCAACAATTTATTGAAAAGGTACAATATTTATGGACGGTGATGATTTTTAACAACACCACACACTGCCTTTAGGGCCAGGTGATCTGAAAACATCCCTGTATTGCAGGGATAGAGCTGATCTGAAAGTTTTCACTAGCCTGGGTAAAGAATAAATGCCCTTATACCATATTCGACGTAATAAGCGCCCAGGGAGTATTCAAAATTATAAATAGGGGGCTCTTATTAGAATATTATTTTGGTGAAAAAAAAACAGAGTTGAAAGATAAATTTCGTGGTTTATGCTGACAGCCTGAAATGTTTACTTACGACAGACATATTTTTCCAGAATTCAAAAGCCCATAATTAAGGGTGCATATAACCATGATAACACATGAGTGCGTATTATACGCGAATAAATAAGTCTTTTGTACATTGACCAATCGGAAGGGGTGCTAATTGGGATTGTTCACTAGCCAATATATTAGCGAATAAAATTAGCGCTTATTAGAGCGGGGCGCTTATTACGTTGAATACAGTATGTCGAAACAATGGGGAAATTGTGAAATGTGTACTCGTCTGCTAGGATCTGTACTAGCCCTGGGCCAGCGTACAGTGTAACCTTGCTGTATTGAGATACGTACACTGTGGGAACATATTCCCCGGGGAAGCTGTCGGTGGTGTACGAGATGAGCATGCACGTCTTGCCCACGGTCCCGTCCCCCACCACCACACACTTGATTGGTCGGCCTTGAGCCATGGTCACTGTCCTCTGTATGCAGATCTGCCGGTCAGCAAAGTCGAGCCTGGGAACTCTGGAATCAAAAAACAATTTGAAAAAAAAAACGTTTGTTAGTTTGATCACTACAGCTTACAGGCAATCTGTACAGTCTCTGCCAAAACTGATGAAACTGACCTAGGCATGTTCCAGAGAGCCACAAAGCGATCTTAGCGCTACGACTACTCAGCGATAGAAACTAACAGTTTTAGTCCACTAGTCCTCATAGTGATAACATATAGCAAAACTCCTTATCAGTTCCAGATGAATTCTGCGGTAAAATTACCATAATTCTGCGGTAGATCCTGTGGTAAAAAACATGACCAATTCCCTGTCAAAAATTAATACCTCATTTTTTCTTTACAAATCCGGATCTCTTGCATTTATGGTACGATATAAACATAGTTTATGTAGTCATAATACCACAAGAACGTTTAAAAGTGAGAAAAGAAATTCAAATTCTGTTTTAAGGTAGGATTCGTATTTTGTATGTTTGAATCGTATGTTTGAGCATCATTCGAGTGCAAAATTCGACATAAATACTTTCAAATAATGAAAATTTATGTATTTATCTGCAATTCTGAGGTAAGTTGCATTTTCTGCAATTCTGGGACTGCCTTATGATACCTTAACTTTTGGGCAGTTTGGCAAGGACTGTGCCAGTTATCTAATGCTGCCACTGTAAGCCTATGATAAAGTATGGATTTTAAATTAACGCTTTGAATAATTTGTGGAACGGGCCCCCTAAACTTTGCTTTTGGTATCATTTTCAATCATGTTCAATAGACGGTTGTGTTAGAATACAAGAACTATTTATTATCAGCTGAGCTTACTTGATCACAGAGAGTTATATCCGAGTCGGACTTTGGCCTATGGTCAATGTGGATTAATTCACAGGCTGTTGGTATTCAGTGTTCAAAATAAAGTATGAAAGTCAAGGGCCCTTGCCATCACAAAAGGGCCTCACCATGTTTAAAGTTTCAACTTTAGGGGATCCCTGAATTCAAGTACATCTACTACAGCAACAAACTTTGAGGACATGTTTCACATACAGTAAACTACGGTTATAATGAACACGGTTATAACGAACTAATGGATATAACGAACTAACTTTCTAGTCCAGACTATTTGCTGTAGTTATGCTGTATATATGCTTATAACGAATTATGGTTATAACGAACTAAAATAAGTAGTCCCTTTGAGTTCGTTATAACCGTAGTTTACTGTACACAATTACTAAGGGAGGGAGTGATTCCCCTTTCTGTCAGTTCTTACATTGTTCCAAGTATGGAAGTAACTTCATCCTGTTCATAACAACTATAGACCTGGAAGTGACCAATCATGCTAATAGGAAAGTACTTTATCTGTACCATGGCCTACGAGATCAATATTCACTGCCTACTTACAATAAATAATCACTGTGATGCTCAGCATCTGAAAGCCTTACTTAATAGGATATAAGGAATAAGCTTAAGTTATTCTGGGATTTGTCTAGGATTCCAAACTATGTGTCCTTGGGGTGCAAAATGGGGACAGATTGTGACATTGTTTAAAAACATCGATTTTGTAATGTTTTATTTCCTTCAATTCTGAGGAGTTGGGCATTTTTGTATTCAATCTGGAAATTTTTAGTGTCATTTGCTGCAAACTTGGGGCTGAATATCGGCTTGTGAGCATATCTAGATAAATCTGTGTTACTATATCCTAAGACTGCATGATATTACCGCTATATGGTAAATAGCAATACAACCTTTGACAATATGTATTACAATACAATCTGAACATGCTGAATGTGTTGATATATTGAGAAAATATATACAGCAAATCTCTGATGAATAATATTTCTAAAACACACTGCCATTGTCATTGTTACTTCCCTGGGTACAAATAGCAGCCGAGCCTCTCGACTATGAGATCATTCGAAATACAAAGGAGAAAGCGTTGATTTGGTCTTTGAAAATGAAGAGCAGTTGGAAAGAGGCAGAAAACATAGCAGTATGCCATCGCTGTACTGTTATGGTGAGAAATGGTGGTACAGTCGTCCCTAGTCATAATGACATGTTTTTTACACAAGAGATTTCAGCAGTGCAAAATTCCCTGGTTATAAAACCACCCTAATTATAACCAATGCTAATCTTTTTCAGAACAAACGTTACAAGTAAATGGTTTTAATGCCATGTTTTATTTATTTTGACAATAAATTGGCATTGTAGTTAATCTTTTGGAGATATTTCCCTCTTCTAAACCAACAATTGCATTGATCTCAGCCCACAGTTAATCCTTACACAAAGCATCATTCACCTTCTTGAAATAACAAATGATAATATTCATTTAAAAAAGCTAAAAATAAATTGGCATTTCTGGTTTTCTCCACCCTGGTCACAATAGGGTATTTTCTGCTGCACGAAAGGTGGCATTACAACCAGGGAGGACTTTGCATGCAAGCAGTCTCGCAACACAGGCACCCGCAACATCAACACTTGATTACTTCCACCAACACAGGCACCCGCAACATCAACACTTGATTACTTCCACCAACACAGGCACCCGCAACATCAACACTTGATTACTTCCACCAACACAGTTATTGTCTCTAGTAACAGCAGCTCTAAGTCTTGTTACTCTTGCACATCATTGCAGACAACAATATCTCATTTGTTTGTCTTCGAGACCAAAATGTTAATGGCAATATATTTCAACAGGTATCATAATCCAGACCTAAGTTTCGCAAAATACTGCAATACAAAAACCAAAGGAACAGATGTTACAAAGTTCACCAATACATCGATAATATTATTAAACAATATGATGCGTGATACACATTTATCCATTCATATTTTAATTTTGTATTCCTTTAATTTTGGTGTAAATCTGAGATTTCGTGAACAGGGACTTTGCTTTTGAATTTAATAATAGAAAATACTTATATGTTACTCTAGTTTTACCTGAAATAAATTGTTGATTGCAAAGAGACATTTTATATCTTAAATATCAGACCAGATATTCAGAAATTTTGAAGCCTTTTTAATAAGTGTTTATGCCCCTTGAAACATACACATTTATGCAAAATTGCCATGAATTAATAACCACGCTTTGTATCATATCAGGAGATAGTCGTATCAGGGCAACCTACAAGGCAATACATAGCCCTACCATATCCTCTCACCCATTCCTTCCTTACCATATTGGTCAAGATTGGGGTCTACAGATCCAGAAAAAAGTCTAGCTATGGATTGCACAGAAAGTGTAGGAATTACAGCACACTTCTTCAAAACTGGTGATTAACGATTGCACATAGTAACTAAAACATGCAGGTCACAGATAAACTCATGTCTACACAAGAGAAAAGTGTGCTCTTAAAATTGATTAATACAGATTTTGATTCTATTGCACAAAATCCTATATTGTAGTGAACTTTCAATGATGGACCAGTCTGGAATTGGGTGTTCAGTCTCTGACTCTGGACTGTGTGTCACAACCTAGGATGTTGTTAAATTTGGATACATTTTAACATTGATTTTGATATTTCATTCAAAGCAGTAATGTAAACCTATCCATAAAATGTCTTTGATCCTCTTTATTGGCCCTATCAGTGAAATACAAGTCATCACTGCAGAGCAATAGTTACAGCCATAACAACTTGCAATGGTAAATTCTAAATTTCAATTTGGGAATTTGTACTGACATTTGCTTCAGGCTATGGGCCAAATATTATCCTCAGGGGTAGATTAATCCCTAAGTCTATTTAAGTACACTTAAAACCACTAATGATGCTCATCTTCAATAAGATGTTGACTAATTGGATCAAAATTATGATAGGTTAAATAATGATTAGCTGATGTGGATTCATAAAAATCTCATATAAAAGTTTGGACAATATACTTTAGTACCACCCTTTCATAAGCCATGATCCATATTGACTAATTTCATGTGTAGAGCCCTTACCCTTATTGCATGTAGTAGCTTATGATCATGCAAATTATGATATATGGCCAAGGCTCCAGATACAAATTCTACCTGCCATTCCCACAGGTAAGACTTTCGCTGTAAAAATGTGCACAAAAAGCTTCTTGCAAGCACTGCACATTGATCATGGACTAACTTTTTCACAATTTTCCTCATAACATATAGCTGTATTAAAATCGAGTGTAACCACACCTTAAATATGATATGGAACTCCTAAACATGCTAAACATATGTATTATTACAATTGCTAACTTAGATTAAAGGCAGGATAATAGACAAAATCTGCATTTTTTAAAACGTAATGTGGTAAAATCTGTGTGTATTGCTACAAGTTCTAAACCAGTACACATACTCCCCTCAGTACCTCTATGGTGAATTTACAAAACACACCCTACACATTACACGAAAACAAAGACTGAGGCCCTACAAGTTAAGGCAAGGAAATCAACTCTCCAGATGTGTTTTAATTTCATCCACACCCCGCTGATTGCTAGTCATGATTAAATTTGATGAATATAGGAAAATTATCCAAACAGGATGTGAACATGGAAACTTTTCATCAAACTCATTTGACAGTTGAAATGAGACCGTCTGACTCAGAGAGAGAGGAGGTTCAGCGAGGTATCACCGCTACACAAAGACGGTATGAGCTGAAATGGATGACTCATACAAGCATCTTAACCGATTACAGCATCGAATTTGTGTCTTACCCTTCAAATATGTGTATGATTCAATCAAAATGTTTCCAAATGACCATAATATCATAGAAACATTTCTCGAAACAATGTCATTTCAGTCCACACTTTCTAGATCGCCGCCATATTTAATGAGCATTGGGAGACTAAAAATAACATCCAATCAAAATCATCGTTTCATCTTCCCTAGGTGGTCTCCCTTGCATTCCAATGGAGAGATAATTCTCCTGATAGGCGAAGCGTATCACTTTCCCTGAAACAACACCACGAGGGATTCTTCGACAGAAAAGATAAAATGAAGATATGACACCGTTCCCAAGAGCGTGGTTTCGTCCTGATTATTTCGATAAAATGATGATTTCTGCTGCTGCCAATAAATCTTTCTCTCGTTTAATGGACGCTCGGTAACTTTGAAACCTATACGGGTGTGGCTTGGATCTAGATTTGCCTAACCTTTTATCAAAGCATCAGTAATGGAACTGAAAAATTATGCCAGGTGCGAATGTTTTTTTACGTGTATTACACATGAGTTCCAAAGTACATGTCATGGGTCTTCAAATATTTCTAAATTAATAATTTTAAAAATGCATATATATATATATATATATATATATATATATATATATATATATATATATATATATATATATATATGCACACTGTGGTAATTTAACTGGGAAATTATGCAAAATAAATTAGTAAACAGAATTTTGATTCACAATTTACAGTTGCCAAACTGATGGATGTTATCAGGTATATCATGTTTAGATATTATAAGTAAGCCCGGCTACGAATGCGTATGATGTTAATAACTACTTTTTAAAAATGTTGGCAGGGTATAGTTTTTATGAGGAACGGTAATTGCAAGTATATATGTGGAAATGAGACCGAGGAAACATTGCAATCTGTCGAGGCCTACATATAGCGTTGCCGTCACTCCCATTTCCTGTGTAGATAAACAAACCGCGTGTAACCTGACCGAAGTGTAACGGAGTGTTCGCTATCTTGTCATAAGAGTAGAAGACTGACTCCCAGTCTGGAGGACATACGATGTTCTACCTCACACGCGGACGCCCTCACAACCTCGTAATGGAAGCATGATGGTAGAACGTCGAAAGAAATGCTTGACGAAGAAGTTTTGTATATTTGAATGTTCTCATTACTTTAGATATATCTGGTACCTTTTATCACACAATCATCTAACATCGCTGTAAAAGTACAGTGCATTTTGAATCAATTTGTTTAACAAATTCTGTACTTGCCTTTTAGTACAATCGTAAATTGTACTTTTTATTAACAAATAAAACAACGCGAGTAGACATGAGTAAAATTATTTGGTCAGTTAATGGTTATCGAATTAACCATGCAAGATGTCTGGTTCTTATGTTGTATTATTACCAAGCAGAACATGGGTCACACACCGTGAAGCACAGCCCCTCTTTCCAATATTTGTGCATCTTTTTGTTGTCTGAGTTGTAATTCTAAATATCCAAAGAACAATTTATATTATGTAACAAAGTGGATTTACATAAATGTCCTAGAATGACTTCCGAAGTTTATACCCAAGTAAGTACCTGCTCATATCGTATTTCAAATTCATTTCTTTTGATTGTCATAAGTTCGAAAATATGTGACTACTTTCTAAATTTACAAGGGTTTGAAATGTGAGCATTTCCTCGGGTGGGGAAACATGTAAAGTTTCCTATGTATACATGCCTAAGAAATGTATGTATCATTCCCCATATTGTAAGTATAATCCCTGATTAAGGGGATAAAAAAGATATGTCAACAGTCTCCCTTGGGATGATCTCTCAACCTAAATTCCCTTGAGCCGATCACGTGAGTTAAATGATAAAATGAAGCGTCAGTAAAATAACCATAAAGGGAGACAACACTGTCTTAGATCACGATGAGTTCGAGAGTACTCGGCTCGTCTCGGTCCAATAGGTACAAGGAACTGGTTGACCGAGACGAGCCGCGGTGGAAGCCGAGTGGACCCGAGTTGTCCCGAGTGGTACTGCAGGATTGATTGCCTTATGGTGAAAGCTTTGGCTCGATACTGGTTCGATTCCCACAAAAGGTTACAGAATGTGACGCCCATTTTTTTACCCCCCTTCAACCCACACCCGAATTACTGGCCGGTCCCTTAGGCTTTTAGATTGGCTCGTGGTTCAAGCGTTCGCTGGTAAGCGCCGAAGGTTCATGTTCATGAACATGGTTCAAATGCGTGATAATGTTGTAATATGTGTAATACTGTCCAATAGGTGGCTAGCCTCACTCACTCACTCACTCACTCACTCTCGAATTATGGGCTCGAATACTAGGTACAAAGATAAATTATATCCAAAGTCATATTTGGCTTAAAAATATGTTTCAATCCCTCATTCTCTGCCATAATTGAATGTCATTTATGGGATCAAAAGTGTAAGTCACAACTGACTTCACTGCCACGTTGATCCAGATCTGACTGTAGTTGTAGCCAAAGTGGGGTTAAATAAGAAGTCAGGATAACGTCCATTTATTGCCCACTGGAAATGTTAAATGTTTAAAGTTACGAACGATTTTGACATACTGGTTTGAAAGTAGGTTGTTATCTTCAAACGGCTAACTGTTGCCCTTCATTATTTAACTTGCAAGTTTTGGTTACATGGTCTTCTGACATGACCTAACGTGTGGGGAGCGAAAATGGCAATTTTTTCGAAGTTATAAAGAAAACAATACGATGTGCAAGTCAGTGTCAGTGTTGATTTTGCTGAGGGTTCTGTACTACTGAACGGTAAAGAAATCAGTGTCAACCTAGCCAGGTGTCATATCATATCAGACCAGTGTGTTTGCAGGGAGAGGCTTTCTGAACGTCTATGGCAGTGGGTTCGAGAAAAGAAGCAACCCTGCAGAGTAATTTACTTGGATGAAGTCGGTTGGCCTGAAAAGTCAAGTTTCTTTATTTTGTACATGTTTAGGCCAACGGCCCATGGTACATATATTGGTCCACAGTATTAATTATTAAGTCACGGTGGATAAAGGCATTATACAAATACATTGCGGTATTTTGAATTGTAGTTTGGTTACAGTCAGACATTAACATATTAAATATATCCAGGGTAGGATGGACATAAAACATTTCATGGATATATTGTTGTCTTAAATTATCATAGGCTTTGCAAAATAACAAAAAGTGGTATTCATTTTCCACATAACCAATATTGCATAATTTACAAATCCTTAAGTTTCTAGGTACATTGTTAAATCTTCCCGTTTCAATATATAAGGAATGCGAACTGCAACGAAAACGAGCTATTGCCGATCTAAATTTATCAATAGTTACAGCTGATATATATGGTTCAACACAAAATGACATTTTAAATAATAAATAGTGATACATTTTAGAGCTTCCGAAAATTGCTGAATGCCAATCCTGTTCATAAATACATTTTAGACGTGATACAAATGCAGTAATAAACAAGTTTGGGGAATCAACACCCTGATTTTCCCAACAAGGACTCCTTGTTCGGAGTCAGGATAATGTGTCTGATTTGGGACTCCATTTTAAACTGTGCCACAGTATCTCCGTTTGCCAGCACTATTTATTACACTACACTACACACACACATACGCACACACACGCACACACACCAGGCTAGGAATGTCTCTTAAAAGAAGAATTATTGAAATAATTAATTGCTGAAAAAAAGAATTTGCCTGCCACAAAAAATACGTTGTTGCAAGGTATTTTTCTTAAAAATAATTCGAGTTCCCCATTTTAAACATAAAATATATCTGGTTTTGTAGCTGTAGCTAAATAAATATCTAACCAACATGGACTGACACGGAAGGAGAACAATAAAAACACCGAAAATAAACTTCATATTGCTAAAATATACAATGAAGACGATACAAAGACTCGACTTCCTGAATGACAAATTAACAGTAACACCAAGCTGTTAAAAAACAATATTTTTAAAATGCGGATTTGATAGGGCTCTACCATTCAGCTCCACACAGAGAACCGCTGTTAATTAACCATTACCGCATTGCATGCACCACAGTCGGAAGGCATGAGCTAGCAATGACAGGGGGCGAACTCCGGGCAACACTTTCTTCTGTCCGCTAAGCCTGTAATCCACGGTAATGCTACAATGGATGACATCAAGACACAAACGTGACGCTATTTGCCTTCTGACGTCTTGTTCAATGCTGCATCTGTGTTGACATTCTTGTTTAAACACTGGTCTAATCTGTACCACTCTATCCGCAGATTTCAACCGCCGTCGGCCTTCAGTTCTCCTCTCCATAGGGTAAGTCTTGCGCATTTATTTTCGTTTTTTCAACAATTCTTACTTCTTTAAGTGACTTAAACAATAAATTTTAATTTGTTAATTTACGATTTGTCGTTCGCAAATGGACAAAATTCTTCATTGTGAGATATCTGGTATGAAGTGTAACAGTGTTTCGGCTTCACTGCAAACAATACATTAAATCATATTGTTATATTAAGAAAATTGTGGACATGGATAATAGCTTTTGGTTATTGCATAAAGCAACGTTCCTCACCCGGTATCAAGCTGGGGAGGTTGTTTTATTGTTGAACAGACATCTACTTCGACTTAGGACGTCGACGGGAATGGTTTAGCATATGGGTAAAATCTCCACGATGGTCTTCTCGCTAACTCTGTGCTGTGATGGGGGAAATCAGCACTTGACTTTCATTCAATTTCATGCTTTGTACATGTGATGTGCTCAGCTGCTTAGAGTAAAGATTGCATTGGCATATAACCTTATAGCTGTATACTCTTCATAACCTGGCATAAAATCCATCATATTAGAGACACTTACTAGTAGCAGTTTGTGTATTATTATTATTGTTATTATTATTATTATTATTATTATTATTATTATTATTATTATTATTATTATTATAATTAGTAGTAGTAGTAGTAGTAGCAATAGTAGTAGTATTTCTAGACATTAACTAGTAGCAATTTGTGTAGTAGTAGTAGTAGTAGTAATTTTAGACATAAACTAGTATCAATTTGTGCAATAGTAGTAGTACTAGCAGTATTTCTAGACATCAACTAGTATAAATTTGTTTAATAGCAGAAGTAGTAGTAGTAGTAGTAGTAGTAGCAGTAGTAGTAGCAGTAACAGTAGTAGTAGTAGCAGTAGTGGTAGTAATAGTATTTGTAGGCATTAACTAGTATCAATTTATGTAATAGTAGTAGTAGTATGTTTAGACATAAACTAGTATCGATTTGTGTAATAGTAGTATTTCTAGACATAAACTAGTATCAATTTGTGTAATAGTAGTAGTATTTCTAGACATAAACTAGTATCAATTTGTGTAATAGTAGTATTTCTAGACATAGACTAGTATCAATTTGTGTAATAGCAGTAGTAGTATTTCTAGACATAAAGTAGTATCAATTTGTGTAATAGTAGTATTTCTAGACATAGACTAGTATCAATTTGTGTAATAGTAGTATTTCTAGACATAGACTAGTATCAATTTGTGTAACAGTAGTATTTCTAGACATAGACTAGTATCAATTTGTGTAATAGCAGTAGTAGTATTTCTAGACATAAAGTAGTATCAATTTGTGTAATAGCAGTATTTCTAGACATAAACTAGTATCAATTTGTGTAATAGTAGTATTTCTAGACATAAACTAGTATCAATTTGTGTAATAGTAGCAGTGGTAGTCGTAGCCGTAGTAGTAGTAGTAATAGTAGTTCTAGAATTAACTATTAGCAATTTGTGTAGTAGTAGTAGTAGTAGAAGTAGTAGTTGTAGTAGCCGTCGTAGTATTTCAAGGCATTAACTAGTGTCAATTTGTGTAATTATTGTAGAAGTAGGTAGTAGTAGCAGTAGTAGTAGAAGTAGTCGTCGTCGTACTATTTCAAGGCATTAACTAGTATCAATTTGTGTAATTATTGTAGAAGTAGTAGTAGTAGTAGTAGTCGTCGTACTATTTCAAGGCATTAACTAGTATCAATTTGTGTAATAGTAGTAGTAGTAGTACCAGCAGTATTTCTAGACATCAACTAGTATACATTTGTTTAATAGTAGCAGTAGTAGTCGTAGTAGTAGTAGTAGTAGTAGTAGTAGTAGCAGTAGTAGTAGCAGTAGTGGTAGTAATAGTATTTGTAGGCATTAACTAGGATCAATTTGGTAATAATAGTTGTAGTAGTAGTAGTAGTTGTAGTATTAGTATTAGTAGTAATAGTAGTAGTATTTCTAGACATAAACTAGTATCAATTTGTGTAATAGTAGCAGTAGTATTTCTAGACATAAACTAGTATCAATTTGTGTTATAGTAGCAGTAGTATTCGTAGCCGTAGTAGTAGTAGTAGTAGTAGTAGTAGTTCTAGAATTAGCAATTTGCGTAGTAGTAGTTGGCTTGGTCGTTCATTATTAGTTTTCTGTATCATTACTCCTTGGTAGCGATTCACAAACACATGCTCATGATATTGAATACTTTAAAAATGTATTTATGTAGACCTAAATTACGGTACTCTATATTGCCAACTTATTCCTGCTTGTTTAGGAATTGGATATAGTGATATCAATAGTCATAAAGTAGAAAGACATATTTCAAACATTGCAGCATGGCAGTTCCTCTTCATTTGTTCTACTTGTTCTCGTAACAATAGAAGCACTATGTACTACAACACAAAGGTCGTTGATGTGAAAACGACCCGTGAAGATTCCGGGGTAGAATAGGTCTTCAGCAACCCATGCTTGTCGTAAAAGGTGACTATGCTTGTCGTAAAAGGTGACTAGCGGGATCGGGTGGTCAGGCTCGCTGACTTGGTTGATGCATGTCATCGATCCCAATTGCGTGGATCGATGCTCATGATATTAATCACTGGATTGCCTGGTCCAGACTCGATTATTTACAGACCGCCTTCATACAGCTGGAATATTGCTGAGTGCGGCGTTAAACAACAAACCAAACCAAACCAATGATGTGAAAACAGTATTGTATGGTGACGGGAACATACCCAGTTTCTAAAACTGTAACGAGCCATTCTTTACTGGGCTATGAGCGACTATTTCTAAAATAATGTACATAAAATACAGGCACGAAAGCATAAAGTAAAAGTAAAAGTAAAAGTAGAAAAATCAATGTACACAATAATGCAAATACATGCTAATACAGACGGTTCATATAAATAAGGGACGGTTGGTTGGTTGGTTTGTTGTTTAACGCCGCACTCAGCAATATTCCAGCTATATGACGGCAGTCTGTAAATAATCGAGTCTGGACCAGACACTCCAGTGATTGACATCATCAGCATCTATCCACGCAACTGGGATCGATGACATGCATCAACCAAGTCAGCGAGCCTGACCACCCGATCCCGTTAGTCGCCTCTTACGACAAGCATTGTCGCCTTTTACGACAAGCATGGGTTGCTGAAGATCTATTCTACCCCGGGATCTTCACGGGTCTATGTAAATAAGGGACTAGCAGGATGAAATATCTGGGTTGGACAGTAGCAATACATAGAAAATGCAGGACAAAGTAAAACTCAGGCATGCCATGTCGGTCCCCATATTATGCCACTGAACTTCGGTCATTAATGGACCAGTTTATGGTATTAACAGTGGACACTTATTAGATTTAAACACGCATACACAAGGCAATTTAACATAACTATAAAAGATGTTGGACAATGTTTTGTCATTGCAATATGGCAAATGCACAGGCGATAACATCCTATTGGCATCGGGTAGCGATCAGAACAAATTCTTGATCTTTGAAACTGAAGAAAACCTTCGCCTTTGGTCAGAAGCATCGTCATATAAACGTTTGTCCTGACATTCTCACCCAACTTAACACCACGCATGCTATGGCAGACAACAAGACAACATGTGCCCGCTTGTCTATGGACTACTTCCAGACAAGATGCAATCAATCTATGAACGATTATTAACTTCCCTAAAAGACCCTCTACTTTGTTGGCAGCTCAGGACGCCATCCGTCTTGTGTTCCATGCTTGTGGTGTGTTTGCTTTAAATTTTAGCCAAGCTATTTGAAAAAAAACAACTTCCAGAATTATGGCCTTGCTAAAGTGTAAAAGGAAAACCCTGAAGTTTGTCGCCTTGTAAGGAGTGCCATTGTCTTTCCAGTGGTTCCCCTGCATGTTCTGAGTGATGCTCTGGCGCTGGAAGATGCTTCAGAAGGTGCCAACCTTGAAACGTCTAAGGACAATGTGGGGAGTTACTGGGTAGAACGTGACCATGACCAAACCACATCGCAACTGTGGACCCTAGAACAACCAACCACGTGGAAGGGTGGCACCGACACATCATGATTGATTGTTTGTTGTTTAACGCCGCACTCAGCAATATTCCAGCTATATGACGGCGGTCTGTAAATAATCGAGTCTGGACCAGATAATCCAGTGATTGACATCATGAACATCAATCCACGCAATTGGGATCGATGACATGCATCAACCAAGTCAGCGAGCCTGACCACCCGATCCCGTTAGTCGCCCCTTACGACATGCCTCTTTCCGAATATCATCCCAATCTGTTCACGATTATAGATAGTTTTAAGAGAGAGCAAGCTTGGGTGGAGTCCTGCTGTCCTCGGTACCTGACCGCCGAAATGAAAACGTCGCTACATCGAGATCGACGTCTTCACCACATACAAGAGACAGTTAATGGATGGGAATTGTTGTGATTGTTCTGATTGTTAGGATTTGTAATATGTTTGAGGACTTATTTCACAGGGTGCAGCAAAATGAAAGCACCGTTTGTTCTTTGGGATTAATACACCCAAGGCGAGTTCAACAGGTGCCGGGCTGACGGGAAGGCACCAACCGGGAGACGTACCTCCAATCTTAATAATTATGTATATGTTTTAGAGGCCAACTATATGCTACAAAATCATACCGATGAAAAGCAAAATAGATATAAATCCGAAAACTACAATTCGTCTTAAATGGCATGAGAGTTTTTATGTGTCCATATCAACTCGTCTCAATGACACTGTCATGAAGTGTTGAAACAGTTGTTTAACAAACTCTCAAGGTAATTGTCTGAGACCTGCACCACTTTGGGCTTTCCTCCCATATTAAGCTGATACGCCGTGATATAACTAGAATTCTCTGAAAAGCGGCATTTGTGAGAATGGTTCTCTGAAACTGATCTAGGAGGAATACCCGAATTGCACATTCACTATGGGGAGTGCTAAAAACACCTTTCTGGGATTCGAACCCCCGATCGTATACTCAGGGCACGCCTGGGGGATGTGCGACAGCGAACTGCGGCGCTTTAGACCACCTCACTCACTCATACATCCTCATCTTACAGCTCACTGCTGCCTGTCTCATCAGCTATGGCTCGTCAGAAGGACACTGGCTGGGCCTGGGTGTGCGTGCTGGGCTCGTTCTACATCCACTTCATTGTGTTTGGACTCATGCAGTCATTCGGCGTCATATACGTGGAGCTCCTGGATCAGTTTAAAAGTTCTCGGGGTGAGACAGCCTGGATTGGATCTCTTCTCAGTGGACTGCTGTTGTTGCTTGGTAAGCTCTGATGATGATGATGATGATGATGATGATGATGATAATGATGTGGGTACTTCTATAAACATTATCACCCAAGCCAGTGGATCGGTGTGCATCCGTTAATCATTCTCAGCTCCCTCGGAAGTATACCACGCACCTGCCTGTGAAGCGCTAGAAGGTTAACTGTCGCCTTACCAACTCATCCTACGTGGGTGCTATACACAATTAATTCTCGTTAAATCTTCGAGGACATTTATAATATATCGATTTTTTTTTCTCAGTTCGGGACATGCCTAGTGTCGATAGTAGTCTGAAAGAAGTCAAAACATACACTAGAAGAAAAAAGTATCATTTCTAAACTTGGAAAGAACATGGCAAGACTGATCTTTCCAATAGTTTTTTCTCATGATATTTCAAATATAAGAGGTTTATGGATATCATTAGGAATCTATGGACAATATTAGAAAGCACAGGAACTATATGGATCGTTATCCGATCTGTTTTCCTTACCTGGCTAAATGACGTCTTTATTTTTGAAAAATCGGATCATGATACGAGGTGGGGTGAAATGGGTTCAACGTCACGGTCAAGAATATTGCACGTTTATAGCGACGCGCATGCGTGTTTGCTTGTACTGCCGGTTTTATGGTTCACTGACATACAATGTTGTAGTTAAGCATGAATGCCCCTCTCAGACACGTTATACTCTTATCTAGATTTATCCCATAATGCCGAGCGCCAGGCAGGGTAACAGTAAGTACCATGGTTTAATATATTGTGATGTGACGCAGCAAGGGTAATCGAAATACCCACCCTTTTTAGTGAGACAAGTTTTGAATTTTCTTTTCATGAAATCGCAGAAATTTATATTTTGAACATACGAGCATACCAACATGTGCATTGTAGCAGACTTAGCTACATTCTAAAGAGGACTGTTTGAAAACAGGACCATTGCTTTCACGGATTAACGTTTGACAGACGAACGTCCCTAAACATGGGAAGAAATGTTTTGACCAAACTAATGATGTCATTATTTTATTCATGTAACTGATACGTGTTGTTTGATTATAGGACCCCTAGATGTGATCGTCCTCGGCCTGCTGGGAACTCGAGCGACAGCCGTATTGGGGGCTGTGTTGGCGTGTGTAGGCTGCAGTGTCAGTTTCCTGGCTAATAGTCTGCTCTTCCTGTATCTCAGCTATGGGGTTCTCCAAGGTAAGAATGCGGCCCGCCACCTGTAGTGACGTCAGGAAGCTTCAGATTGTTGACATTCAAGAACATGGAGTGTCTTACCATCTCGGCAGGGTACCACGTATATTGTTTGAAACAATCAGTACAAACTCTTCGGGAAATATATTTCGCTGAGTTATAAAATACAGAGATGGACATTAACAATTGTCGAAAAATAGGTAACAGTAATGTCAACCTTCTATTTGTATTGAATCGGAATGTGCGGACATTCCCGTGAGTGAATGGCGTCTACGATACACTCAGTGTCGTCTACTATACACTCCCACTACTCCCTCATGAAGCAAGGGTAGGGGTCCATCAGTATTTAAAAGAAAACGTGATCGTATTGTCACCCCGATTATAAACCTTGCATTGTCAGAGGCATACCCGTGCTCCTGGGTTTCTCCAAAGCGTTCGACGTCCTTCGGGCTTTCCTCCCATACCAAGCTAACACGTCGTGATGTAACTGAAATACTAATTCTAAGCGGCGTAAAACAAAACTCATCCACATTTAAAATGAAAACACACAGCCACAATATATAGCTGCTGTTCTATCAATACATTACATGACATTAAACCAAATATCGGTTACACCTACCTGGGTTGTCAGTCCAGATTTGATGAGATCATAATACGACGATGTCGTATTGGCCATAGCAGGTATACAAATGAATATTTATTGAAAGGTGAGGATCCTCCATTTTGTATCCCTTGTGATGAAAGAATCACCGTCAAGCATGTCCTGCTTGACTGTGTTGATTTCTCCATCACAAGGGATAAATATTCAAAATAATCAATTGAGGATCTTTTTAATACTATTAATTCACATTTAATTATAGTTTTTTTAAAAGAAATTGAACTCATCGATAAATTCTAAATTGTGTAGATAGCTAGATTTTATATTGGAAATGTATAATTGTGACCTAGATGGTTAGTGGCTGTATCCTCAAAGATTTTTTTTATTCCATGTAAATCTATGTATAATGTGTCAGTTCTCGTCACGATATGGCTGAAATATTGCCGATGTGACGTTAAATTTTAACTCACTCTATCGTGGGCCGAACAACTTATTATCACGTGCATCTGTCCTTGAACTATAAAGTTAACGATGGTTTTAATTGATTGGTTTTAATCATGGTTCTTCTTAATTACTTTAATAATTCAGTATTCATGATCTCTCTCCAGGTTTGGGCTTCAGCCTACTGTTTGTGTCCGCCACCGTCATCGTGAACCAGTACTTTGATAAACGTCGGTCTCTGGCCAACGCCCTTGGGTCTCTCGGAGGAGGTGTGGGAACCCTGGCTCTCCCTCCTCTCCTCCAGATGATGATGTCAGTGTACACCTGGCGAGGGGCGTTGTTGATTACAGGTGGGCTTGTCCTCAACTGTGCAGTGTTTGGGGCACTTTTCAGGCCGTTTTACACCAGGCAGGAACTCAGAGATATGGCAACCGAATCCAGAACATCAGGTAGGATTGAAACCAATAGGACATTGGACAGTGAACGTAGAATAAGTCAAGGATACTTCGAATATATATGGAGTGACCTGACAAAATGGATATGTTCATAAGAGGCGTCGATATGAGATAACCAAGTTTGAGAAGCCAAATATTCGTCCTGTAATTCCTTACTGGTCTTTAGAGGGAACTGTCGATTTTAATTTTCCACATAAATATAATATTTCATCTCTGAATACATAATAAAGAACACAGAAATATAGAACATGGTTCGTAGATTACATACTGCCGGGAAAACGAGTGAGTGAGTGAGTGAGTGAGTATTGTTGTACGCCGCGTTTAGCAATATTTCAGCAATATCACGGCGGGTCCGGGAAGAAGAAAATGTACACTTGACAAATGGATTTGACAAACTATTACTTGGGTGAAAACAGTCGCATGTTGTGATATACGTATTGATATGATGCGAGTAATATCGCCTGTGACACCCGAATAATGTACATCAGTTTCAAATGACCATTTCTTTGGTTTGTTTCATGTTCAGCCACCATCAAACAAACAGAGGTGTATACTTTATTGTCCCCGGCGGTCTATTCTTTTCAGAAAATAGTTCAAGGAGAAACCAATACCTTAAAACAATTCTCCACTGGATACGACCCGTGTCGTGAAAAAAACACATCCTGTAAAGATAAATTGTTTTGGCTCCTTCCAAAGTAAAACATTTATTTCTTGTAGCAGTCATCGGAACTTTGAAACGGAGTGGCTGAAAAACTTCCCCAGACGTATTGAGGGTTTGTTAGATCCTGACCCAAAGAGGTATCGAATCGGAGAAAACGATCTAATTGTAATTAGGTTAATTAGAATAATCGCTTTTATCTTGTATTTACTTTTCTTTCTGATGGAGACAAGCAAGAAACAAGAAAATCTTGCTCAGCTGCCGCTTTCTGCTTCAAAGTGAAGTCCATCCTGTCAACATTCACCAACATCAGATACACCATTTTTGTTGTTGGTTCCGTTGTCGGGGCTCTGGCTTACCTCATCCCTTTCAATCACCTCCCTGACCTGGCGAACGGCCTGAATATCCCGGAGAAGAAGTCGACTTGGCTCATATCCACCATTGGTATATCCAGCATGGTGGGGCGCCTGCTGTTTGCTCGGATATCCGACATCCCGTGTGTCAACAGGGTGGCTTTCCTCGCCTCAGCCAGTATTCTGTGTGGGGCTGCCACTATGACGTGTCCGAAGTTGTTGTCGTTTCAAACGCTGATGGCTTACTCTGTGTTTTTTGGGACATTCTTAGGTAAGTGTACTGAATCGTGATAGTTTTTTGTGTTATATCCGTGTAATCTGTTGAAATGTATCAATAACTCAAAGTCTTAATTCTGAACCTCATTAATCTCTGTAGTCATACCAATGTAACCAATGGTGTAAATCTCAGTGTATCCATGTCCCTATATATCGATGAGGTGTTAACATATAGTCATGTTCTTAAATCACTATAATGAATCTATAATTATACTGGTCATATTTCAATAATACGTTTTGTAATTATTCAATATTTTATCTTCCAACTTGCGAAACCCAAATACAGTTCTTCAGATATTGTTCGTCACTTGCTATCCACGAACCTGACTTTTGACTCAGGATTGTGAAACTCAGTAAACCTGCCACGGCTCGGGTATATTACACGCCAATACCCCTACACACCAACACCCCACACGCCAAAAAACCCACACGCCAATACCCCTACACCCCAATAACCCTACACCCAAATACCCCTACACGCCAATACCCCTACACCCAAATACCCCTACACGCCAACACCACAATACCCCTACACTCCAATACCCCTACACGCCAAAACCCCTACACCCCTACACCCCTACACTCCTACACGCCAATACCGCTACCCCCCCATTACCACAACACGCCAATACCCCACACGCCTATACCTTTACACGCAAATACCCCTACACCCCTATACTCCTACACCCCAATACCCCTACACCCCAATACCTCTACACGCAAACACCCCAAAACCCCTACACGCCCATACCCCTACACCCCAATACCCCTACACGCCAATACCCCTACACGCCAATACCCCACACGCCTATACCCCTACACCCCTATACTCCTACACGCCAATACCCCTACACTCTTATACTCCTACACCCCAACATCCCTACATCCCATACCCCTACACGCCAATACAGCTACACCCCAATACCCCTACACGCCAATACCCCACACGCCTATACCCCTTCACGCCAATACCCCTACACCCCAATAACCCTACACCCAAATACCCCTACACGCCAATACCCCTACACCCAAATACACCTACACGCCAACACCCCTACACCCCTACACCGCAATACCCCTACATGCCAATACCCCTACACGCCAATACCCCTACACGCCAGTACCCCTACACGCCAACACCCCTTCACGCCAATACACCTACACGCCAATACCCCTTCACGCCAATACCCCTACATGCCAATACCCTAACACCCCTATATTTCTACACGCCAATACCCCTTAACGCCACCACCCCAATACCCCTACACCCAAATACCCCTACACGCCAATACCCCTACACCCCAATACCGCACACGCTTATACCCCTACACGCCAATACCCCTACACCCCAATACCCCTACACGCCAATACCCCTACACGCCAAAACCCCTACACCCCTACACCCCTACACTCCTACACGCCAATACCTCTAACCCCCCCATTACCACAACACGCCAATACCCCACACGCCTATACCTCTACACGCAAATACCCCTACACCCCTATACTCCTGCACCCCAATACCCCTACACCCCAATACCTCTACACGCAAACACCCCAAAACCCCTACACGCCCATACCCCTACACCCCAATACCCCTACACGCCAATACCCCACTTGCTATCCACGAACCTGACTTTTGACTCAGGATTGTGAAACTCAGTAAACCTGCCACGGCTCGGGTATATTACACGCCAATACCCCTACACGCCAACACCCCACACGCCAAAAAACCCACACGCCAATACCCCTACACCCCAATAACCCTACACCCAAATACCCCTACACGCCAATACCCCTACACCCAAATACCCTACACGCCAACACCACAATACCCCTACACTCCAATACCCCTACACCCCAGTACCCCTACACGCCAATACCCCTACACGCCAAAACCCCTACACCCCTACACTCCTACACGCCAATACCGCTACCCCCCCATTACCACAACACGCCAATACCCCACACGCCTATACCTCTACACGCAAATACCCCTACACCCCAATAACCCTACACCCAAATACCCCTACACGCCAATACCCCTACACCCAAATACCCTACACGCCAACACCACAATACCCCTACACTCCAATACCCCTACACCCCAGTACCCCTACACGCCAATACCCCTACACGCCAAAACCCCTACACCCCTACACTCCTACACGCCAATACCGCTACCCCCCCATTACCACAACACGCCAATACCCCACACGCCTATACCCCTACACGCAAATACCCCTACACCCCTATACTCCTACACCCCAATACCCCTACACCCCAATACCTCTACACGCAAACACCCCAAAACCCCTACACGCCCATACCCCTACACCCCAATACCCCTACACGCCAATACCCCTACACGCCAATACCCCACACGCCTATACCCCTACACGCCAATACCCCTACACCCCAATACCCCTACACGCCAATACCCCTCACGCCTATACCCCTACACGCCAATACCCCAATACCGCACACCCCTATATTCCTACACGCCAATGCCCCTACACTCTTATACCCCACACGCCAATACCCCACACGCCAATACCCCTACACCCCAATAACCCTACACCCAAATACCCCTACACGCCAATACCCCTACACCCAAATACCCCTACACGCCAACACCCCTACACCCCAATACCCCTATATGCCAATACCCCTACACGCCAATACCCCTACACGCCAGTACCCCTACACGCCAACACCCCTTCACGCCAATACACCTACACGCCAATACCCCTTCACGCCAATACCCCTACATGCCAATACCCTAACACCCCTATATTTCTACACGCCAATACCCCTTAACGCCACCACCCCAATACCCCTACACCCAAATACCCCTACACGCCAATACCCCTACACCCCAATACCGCACACGCTTATACCCCTACACGCCAATACCCCTACACCCCAATACCCCTACACGCCAATACCCCTACACGCCAAAACCCCTACACCCCTACACCCCTACACTCCTACACGCCAATACCTCTAACCCCCCCATTACCACAACACGCCAATACCCCACACGCCTATACCTCTACACGCAAATACCCCTACACCCCTATACTCCTGCACCCCAATACCCCTACACCCCAATACCTCTACACGCAAACACCCCAAAACCCCTACACGCCCATACCCCTACACCCCAATACCCCTACACGCCAATACCCCTACACCCCAATACCCCTACACGCCAATACCCCTCACGCCTATACCCCTACACGCCAATACCCCAATACCGCACACCCCTATATTCCTACACGCCAATGCCCCTACACTCTTATACTCCTACACCCCATTACCCCTACATCCCAATACCCCTACACGCCAATACCCCTACACGCCAATACCCCTACAAGCAGATACCTCACACCCCTTTACCCCTACACGCCAACGCCCTAATACCCCTACACCCCAATACCCCTACACGCCAACACCCCAATACCCCTACACCCCAATACCCCTACACGCCAATACCCCTTCTCCTCAATACCCCTACTGCCCAATACCCCTACACCCCAATACCCCCACACGCCAATACCCCGACACGCCAATACCCCCACGCGCCAATTCCCCCACACGCCAATACCCCTTCTCCTCAATACCCCTATTCTAATTTGAAACGACAATGGTAATTTGCTTTTTGTGAAAGGAGAATAGTCCAATGAAGGTTAAAGCTAACTAACCCATGAGCGTGAGGATAAGCTAAGACGGAATAAGTTTAACAATGTATTATCTGTTGGATGTGATAAAAGTCGAAACCGAGTCTACCGAGTCTGTAATATGCTATGCATGGCCTGGCGTACCATCGGATGGTCAGGCTCGCTGACTTGGTTGATACATGGCATCCCAATTGCGTGGATCGATGCGCATGATGTCAATCATTGGATTGTCTGGTCCAGACACGATTTTGTACAGACCGCCGTCATATAGCTGGAATATTGCCGAGTGCGGCGTTAAACAACAAACACACAAACAAACAACGATGTAAACAATCGTTCAGATGACATGTTGCGGTATGATTTAAAAAAAAATTTGAATTGCAGAAACCAATGTTTGTCTCCTGTCATGTCAATACAGAAAGGGATATCAGTCTGTGAGATAAGTCTGTTTTATCACAGCGTGTCAGTTTCATGTAGGACAGACCGAAGTGATATAGGTCTTATGTGTATACCACATTGGCGAAACCAGCGAACACGGGTATGATGCTGAGGAAACAAGACTCATCAGAGTGAACGTGGGATTCGAACAAAGGATCGTCGGATTCTGGCAACCTACGCTGTACAACGACTTGGCGCGCCCCATACGAATGGGCGTCACACGTCCCCGCACCTTGAAGTGGCGCCTCAACACTGAGTGCATTTTCACTCAACACATGTCCCACACACCTTGAGGTGTATGTAGCCTCAATACTAAGAGCAAACTTACTAAGACCAGTCCCTTAGGGGTTGAGATGAAGCTTCAACACTGAGTGCAATCAGAGAAACACATGTCCCCACATGTCTGTTGGATGTGCCAAGTCTCTTTTGCAGGTGTCAAGTCTTCGTTGTGTATGTCACGATTCTGTTATGTGTGTCAAGGTTCTCTTGTATGTGTCAAGTCTCAGTTGTATGTGTCAAGTCTCTGTTGTGTGTGTCACATCTCTGTTATATGTGTCAAGGTTCTCTTGTATGTGTCAAGTCTCTGTTGTGTGTGTCATGACTCAGTTGTATGTGTCAAGTTCCTGTTGTATGTGTCATGTCTCAGTTGTGTGTGTCACATCTCTGTTGTATGTGTCATATCTCTGTTGTGTGTGTCACATCTCTGTTGTGTGTGTCACATCTCTGTTGTGTGTGTCATAGCTCTGTTGTGTGTGTCACATCTCTGTTGTATGTGTCAAATCTAAGTTGCATGTGTCAAGTTCCTGTTGAGTGTGTCAAATCTCTGTTGTGTGTGTCACATCTCTGTTGTATGTGTCACATCTCTGTTGTGTGTGTCACATCTCTGTTGTGTGTGTCATATCTCTGTTGTGTGTGTCACATCTCTGTTGTGTGTGTCACATCTCTGTTGTATGTGTCAAATCTAAGTTGCATGTGTCAAGTTCCTGTTGAGTGTGTCACATCTCTGTTGTGTGTGTCACATCTCTGTTGTGTGTGTCACATCTCTGTTGTATGTGTCACATCTCTGTTGTGTGTGTCACATCTCTGTTGTGTGTGTCAAGTCTCTGTTGCATGTGTCAAGTCTTTGTTGTATGTGTCACATCTCTGTTGTGTGTGCCACATCTCTGTTGTGTGTGTCACATCTCTGTTGTGTGTGTCACATCTCTGTTGTGTGTGTCACATCTCTGTTGTGTGTGTCAAGTCTCTGTTGTATGTGTCAAGTCTTTGTTGTATGTGTCAAGTTTCTGTTGTGTGTGTCACATCTCTGTTATATGTGTCAAGGTTCTCTTGTATGTGTCAAGTCTCTGTTGTGTGTGTCAAAACTCTGTTGTATGTGTGAAGTCTCTTTTGTATGTGTCAAGTCTTTGTTGTATATGTCAAGTCTCTTTTGTATGTGTCAAGTCTTCGTTGTATATGTCAAGCCTCTGTTGTATGTGTCAAGTCTCAGTTGTGTGTGTCAAGCCTCTGTTGTATGTGTCAAATCTCTGTTGCATGTGTCAACTCTCTGTTATATGTGTCAAGTCTCTGTTATGTGTGTCAAGTCTCTGTTGTGTGTGTCAAGTCTCTGTTATGTGTGTCAAGTCTCTGTTGTGTGTGTCAAGTCTCTGTTATGTGTGTCAAGTCTCTGTTGTATGTGTCAAGTCTCTGTTGTGTGTGTCAAGTCTTTGTTGTGTCTGTCCAGTCTCTGTTGTGTGTGTCAAGCCTCCGTTACATGTGTGAAGTCTCAGTTGTATGTATTAAGTGTCTGTTATTGATGTCAAGTCTCTGTTGCATGTGTCAAGTCTCTGTTGTGTGTGTCAAGTCTCTGTTGTTTGTGTCAAGTCTCTGTTGTGTGTGTCAAGTCTCTGTTGCATGTGTCAAGTCTCTGTTGCATGTGTCAAGGTCCTGTAGCACATCTCAGTGTGTTGCTGTATGTTCCTAGGCGTGTGGCTGTACCTCCAAGCTGTGGCGGTGGCTGACACTATAGGAGTAAACAAACTCAGTGAAGGGTTTGGCTACCTCATCTGTTTCCAAGGCATCGTGGTCTTCCTCGGATCGCCTATGGCCGGTAGGTACCCTGTGTCATGTATGAATGTCATGGTTTCAATAATCCTATTAGGGCTGTCCATGTTTCTGCCGACTTTGATTATTCCTAACAAATCATTATTTGGCCAACGACGAATCAAGGAAATGGTTGCATCTTCAGATGAGCAAGAACATTTGTCTTATCAGGTATTGATTTAACCAAAGAAATTGTCAGATGAAAAGTTATGTTTGGTAACGAAATTTCCATATAAGAATGAGTGAGTGAGTGAGTTGGGTTTAACGCCGCTTTTAACATTATTCCAGTTATATCGCGGCGTGTCAGCTAATGTGGGAGGAAAGCCCGAAGTGATGCAGGTCTCTGACGTTTACCACTTCGGTGAAACCCACGAGCACGGGTATGGTGCTGAAACCTAGAAACATAATTGGGGCGAACCGGGATTCGAACCCACAATCATAGGTTTCTAGCGTGCCCAAGGGACGCAACTCCACACAGCGAACCGCGGCGCCTTAGACGACTGGACCACCTGTGCCCCCTCCATATAAGAGATTGAGTTAGCAAAGATTTGCAATATAATAGAACTGGTCCTGCATAACCATTGTCATTTGACGATATGGATTTTGTATAACCATATTTCAGCGAAAGGTATTGTCATAAGAAATTATCGATTTGGCAAAATTAGTAATTATCATGTGAAGTTTTAGAGTTAGCGAAACAATTGTCACGTGAGATGATGCGAGTTGCCGGAGATGTGAGAATATTTGAGTTACTGGATTTCTGATTGGCAATATCCCCATGGGTACCAATTGTGATGATCTGTTTCTCTGTGCATACGAATCTGATTTTATGACTTCTTCAGTTAAATCAAAGAAAGGTAGCATTGTAAAGATGTTCAATCTCAGTTTCAGATAAATAGACGACTTCATTTCTTGAACAAAGCTTAGATAAATGAGCATCTTCACCTCGTCTGTCCACCAGAGATAGAAATCAAAGAAACATCTGAGAAACCATATTCAGTGTCCTTTCTGGGTCAATGCATAGAAATTTAAAATGACGGTAACCTCTGAACCAAATTGTATGCTAAGAGGGATGATTTCGATTTCCCCTTCACGTCCCCTTTAATATACCATGAACTCTACTATATGGCGTCTACATTGTCCAGTTGTTTAGTACTTAAGAACATGTACGAAAATACCAATTTTCATGGAAAGTCCCATTTTGCTTTCAGAGGACATTCTGAGGACTTACTAAATGACACGTAGCTTGTCAACATGTTATCCCTTACATGACCTTACAGGAAGAGGTCACACCTCTTTTCTCATTGGCAACTTCTGTTATGGATCGGAAATCATGTTTGGTGACTTGGTTGACAGCGTGGTGCCGTACCCAGACGATTCTGATCACTGGGTTGTCTGGTCCTCTGTTTACAGGTCGCTGTTGTATGACAGTTGTATTGTTGGTTGTGAGTGAGTGAGTGAGTTTATGCTTTACGTCACATCGGCAATATTTCAGTCATATCGTGACGATGCTGGTTGTGACGTTAAGCAGCAAACAAACTCTGTTTTTACACAAAGTGTGGGAGTAGCACGTGCTACCGGAGGAATAGGACATGTTTCCCTTTTCGCGAAAACACGTGGTGCCATCACTGATTTTTAGTGACCCATTCATATCATATGCACCACTATTGGTAGAAAGAAATCGGTTTCGGGAGAAAATCGAGGATGAGACTTTTTGAAGTAGTGATTTTGTTTGTTTGTTTGTTTGTTTGTTGTTTAACGCCGCACTCAGCAATATTCCAGCTATATGACGGCGGTCTGTAAATAATCGAGTCTGAACCAGACAATCCAGTGATTGATATCATGAGCATCGATCCACGCAATTGGGATCGATGACATGTATCAAGCAAGTCAGCGAGCCTGACCACCCAATCCCGTTAGTCGCCTTTTACGACAAGCATAGTCGCCTTTTACGGCAAGTATGGGTTGCTGAAGACCTTTTCTTCCCCGGAATCTTCACGGGTCTGTGATTTTGTAGTGACATTGTGACGTCATATTTAGTCTGACGTCACTTGCTTGCCACATCACAGTGGACACGTATCGGACTTTGAATAACCATTCTGTGTGAACCACTGGGACATTTATTGTCTCTGAACAATATTTCTTGACAATAATATTGTGAACAGCCCTTTAGGTCTGGGTGTGTACCGCATCGATCGGTTAGTGAGTGATTGAGTGAGTTAGTTAGGTTTAACGCCGCTTTTAACAGTATTCCAGTTATATCGCGCCGTGTCAGCTTAATGTGGGAGGAAAGCGCGAAGTGATGCAGGTCTCAGACGTTTACCACTTCGTTGAAACCCACGAGCACGGGTATGGTGCTGACAAACCTAAAAATATAATCGGGGTTCGAACCCACAATCATAGGTTTCTGGCGTGCCCAAGGGACGCAACTCTGCACAGCGAATCGCGGCGCCTTAGACGACTGGGCCACCTGTGCCCCCTGATCAGTTAGTAATTCACGTACAATAACAGTTATATCATTCATATTCCTCCGCCTTATTTGTTCAAGGTTGGTTATACGACTTGACCGGAAACTATGGCATGTCCTTCTACGTCGCGGGAGGTCTTTTCATCCTAGGGGGCGCCATAATTCTACTTTATGACGTCACACGTACCTGCTTCCGGTCGGAACACAGTGACTCGTATAGTCCTAACACGGTGGGAGAGCATGTCTATGACAACCCTGCTGTTGTGTCAGAGGAAAGGCTCTGATGACGTCAGCTATGACGTCACACGCACCTGGTTCTGGTTCCGTTTCCAACACTAACACTTGTAGTCAAAATATGGAGGAGTGTGTCCTTGGGTACACTACTGCCGCGTTGCACAAAAAAACCTTACGACGTCATTGTGTTTCTGCCTTGTAATATTTTGTATTAAATCAGTTTTAGTTATGTATTTCATTTGATTTCAGTGACAAGATTCCGGGGTAGAATAGGTCTTCAGCAACCCATGCTTGCCGTCAAAGGTGACTATGCTTGTCGTAAAAGGCGACTAACGGGTGGTCAGGCTCGCTGACTTGGTTGATGCATGTCATTGATCCCAATTGCGTGGATCGATGCTCATGTTGTCAATCACTGGATTGTCTGGTCCAGACTCGATTATTTACAGACCGCCGTCATATAGCTGGAATATTGCTGAGTGCGGCTTTAAACAACAAACCAACAAACCAACCGACACGGCAACAGGTTCTACCTTTCCCCGACGGAACCTGTATTCCCTTTCTTTTTGACCTCTTGCCGTGCTGGAGGGAGTTATTGCTTAGGAGGCAGACCTTTTATTACTCACACATTCACTCACTCATTCGCTCACACATTCGCTGACCCGTGAAGATCCGGGGTAGAACAGGTCTTCAGTAACCCATGCTTGCCGCAAAAGGCGACTATGCTTGTCGTAGGAGGCGACTGACGGGATCGGGTGGTCAGGCCCGCTGACTTGGTTGATGTACCTGTTTGTTATGCCAATTTCATGGAACAATGCTCATGATATCAATCACTGGATTGTCTGGTCCAGACTCGAATATTTACAGACCGTCGTTATATAGCTGGAATATTGCAAACATACAATGTGGCGAGCTTATGTATCTGTATATGCGTATCTCTTCTTCACTGACAACATAAAGACAGTCGTCGAAAATTGATCCTATAAACTCGCTAAACATCGAGAATGTATCATCCAATTGGCAAGAGTTGTTTCAGAGCTCTGGTTTTGGAAATACAACGCTGATTCGCACACGTACGACACGAGTACTCTTGTACTAATAATATTCATCACAGTGCCTCAATGAACTCTGGCAAGACGCGACTGAAGGTTGTCATGGCTGACCGGGAATTGTTTTGATCGTGTTCATGTCTGTTTATCATCACACTCGTTTAGTTTCCTTAAAGCACGTTGATCAGTTGTTGAAGACATCTTTAAGCCGGGTCGATGCTCGTGATGTCAATCACTGGATTGACTGGTCCAGACCGCCGCCATATAGCTGGAATATTGCCGAGTGTGGCGTTACACAACAAACATCAAACAACAACATCACTTGTGTGCTATGTCACTGCTTCAGATTATGAGATGTTGTTTCACAAAACGTCCACCAAATACAACTATTATAAGTATATGTAGAACACACGGTCACTGGTGATTTCACGCGGTTTACAGACCCGAGAAGATCCGGGGTAGAATAGGTCTTCAGAAACCCATGCTTGCCGTAAAAGGGGACTATGCTTGTCGTAAGAGGCAACTAACGGGATCGGGTGGTCAGGCTCGCTGACTTGGTTGATGCATGTCATCGATACCAATTGCGTGGATCGATGCTCATGATATTAATCACTGGATTGTCTGGTCAAGACTTGATTATTTACAGACCCCCGTCATATAGCTGGAATATTGCTGAGTGCAGCGTTAAACAACCAACCAACCAACCAATCACGCGGTTTACAACAAACGTAAACCGCGTCATTGTTAATATCGACTGTTCAACTACTACGGTTAATGAGCTACATCTTGTTCCGGCATCATATAATGAAATGCTGTCAATATCTATTTTCCATCACTTACCTATATTACTAAATCAATATGCATGTCAATCCGTTGAAGAATGGTTCCAATGATACTGTTATAATAGCCATTTACTGTTTTGATATGATTTACATATGTTCAACACTGTTTCACCACTCTGATGCGTGACGTCCACGCTAGACTCCAGCTGTACCCATACACTGAGGGGCAAAAGAAAGTACCCCGAGCTATTTTTTTATGTAATTGAAAATTGAAAGAAATGTAAAATTTGATTATGGCCATTAAACCATCTCTCATTCCTGTAACAGTTAGTAAAACGCAATATTTGACTGGGTTCAAATGGTTCAATGTTGTAGGAAATAAATTTGTAACCACATGATTGAAATCATTGTAAATTTGTGCAAAAAAACATTATTTCTATTTTCAAAGTTAAGATTCTAGGAAAACCATAAACAGTTGTGTTTTATGCGAAATCTTTTCCCTTTATTTTTTTTAAAAGCTTTTAATCAAAGTAAATACAAGTGCAGAGTTCAGAAGTTCAAAATGACAACGCCAGAGAATAACAAAAATCCGGCAAAATTGTAATGTAAATTATGTGAATGGATAACTGAAAATCACCGATGACACAGATTTTCATAGCAAAGCTCTTTGACATACGACTGCGGCTTATAAACAAACGAACCTGGGCCATACAATCTAGTGATCAGTATCATGAGCAATGATTCACGTCGTTGTGGTAATCACAAGGGAAAATTCCAATATATACAAAATATACAATTTGTATATATGGTATATCCAAAACTATACAATTTTGTATATATGATATATCCAAAAATATACAATTTTGTATATATGGATAGATTTTACCACTGCTTCACTCAGTTTCGTCTTACTGGATTCTCACACTAGGTGGTTGATATTGAAAATATTACTAATAATACCGGACAGTATTATTGCATGTAACAAATATACTTTAAAACTATGTTCATTATGACAACTATATTTGGAGTGTTATGAAATAATTGGCATTTATTCATGTTGACAGCATTTTACATAATAAAGAAATAGAAGATTTCAGCAGACTTAGTGTGACAGGATAACTAAGTTTGTCATCTGGTATAATAGTTTATTATTTATAGAAAAATTGTGTCTTGAACACAGCATGGCCACATATTTACACTATTCTTTCATGTCATGAGAAGATATATTTCTATATTTCTCGATTTTACACTTTTCCCTTTCCTCTGGACATATAATTATTATTCATTGGTTGTTGCTACTTTTTAATAATGATAAGGATGGTGTAATAGAGTGAATAAATAGAATTTAAAGTCATTAGGAGAAGCTCTAGGAAATCTTGCAGGGAAAGCTGCATCTGCACTTCATGGTATATTAAGAAGTATTGTATCCTGGCTCTAGACTTTATTCGCTGAGACTGCTACATAAGGGGCCGTCACACCATGACGTTCTGGTCAACGTTCTCTGAACATTTCAATCGTTCAATTTTTTAGCGTTCTAGAATGAGGATGACACATCTGGCGTGTGATTAACGTGTGCCTAACGCATGACTAGCGTGTGTCTAACGACGAGAAGCGTGTAACAGCGACCAAGTAAGATATACCCCTGAAAACCATTAGCGTGTGCTAATGTGCCACTGGCGCGCGACGAACGATTTGTCAACGTTAGACGAGCGTGTTGAGCGTGTGACTAACGTGTGAATAACGACAGAATAGCGTCTGCGTGCGCTGCGTGCGCTGCGTGCGCTGCGTGCGCTGCGTGCGCTAGGGGACCGTTCAGCGGTCGTTGACAGGTCGCCAGTGAGTCGTTCAATGCAAACGAACGATTAGTAACAACCAAGTAACGCTAGAGTAACGACTGACTAACGATAGCCGAACGCGTGCAACGCTCGGCGAACGTTAGTAAAACGTTCCACGAACGTTCTTAAACGTTCTTCAGCGTTTAAAATTAAACGTTGAAGAACGCTGGTCTCAGTGAGAACTTTTGTGCATGTTCAAAACTTTTTTTCCGGACCAGCGTTCTCCGCCGATTCCCGGCGATCACCGACGTTCACTAGCGTTCACACAACGCTCTTCTGGCGCTATCCCTGCGACCATGGGCGACTACCAACGTTTCCTCAAACGTCATAGAACGCTGACCAGAACGTCATGGTGTGACGGCCCCATTAGCTTAGTCAAAACTATTTATCCAAATCATGAATAAACCTGCCGCAATTCCACCTACTCTAAGTGTTGTTTTCTGATCGATATGTTGTTGAATTTGAGTAACAATATGTGGTGTTTGTTCAATTACTGAACGTGGTTGAGATGTTACTTCTGTGTTTGGCTGAATTACAGCAGATCGCTGTGGTTTGACTATTCCTGTCTCACCCGTGCTTGGGTGAGTTATTAAGACAGTGTTAATATCTGAATTGATACCTAGTGTTTGTTTATCAGTAGTAATTACAATTTTATTATTATAACCTACCACTTGAACAATCTTAAGTTCCATGTTACTCGGTGTCATATACAGACCTGTCCCCACAACATAGTCTACTTTACCACCAGCATACTGTAGAGCATCTTTATATGGGTTGTTGGCCGTAGGTGGATCAACAGGTGACGAAATAGCATCCTCTACGTTTCAGCAAACTGCTTTTGTGCAACAAATGCTGCGAATCCACCAATGATGTTTGTACGTGTTTGCGCCTGAGCCCCAACAACAGCCCATACATAAGTTCTGACTGAGTCATTAAGTCTTTCATTACCGGGGTGAGTAATAACTTCTGATTTATTTAAAATGAATTCCAAGCATTTTCAGCATCTTGTGGTTGCTCAACCTGTTGAACAGCAAATACAACACCACCCTCAAAGTTCATATGATCATCTCTCCACTCGTTACTCGAGAGAGCAATGTCCTATCGAAACCTTTCAATAAACTATTGCTGACTTCTTGAACATAGCGTGTGCCACTGTATGGGATACCAAGACCATGATTAACTCCATGCAGACGCCAATCTAAATGTGTTGAAATATCAATTTCACCATACATATGTACATATGCCCGCTGATTGTATTGATTATTTGATGGATTCCGTCCTGTGGTAATGGTTGACTTATATCTGCAAGGATACGTCTAATCTGAGTATAATATAATAAGGATTTTTAAACCAATTCAACATATTGTTGATGTGAAATTCGTCATTATCAATAAACAGGACAAACTGAATAGGTTATTACAGACAGGTGTTCAAAAGTCCCAATGGCCATGGATACTCGTTATGTGTTTTATGTCA